TCTCCCACACCTAAGCTCATCTGTTTGGGTCCGTGTGCCTTCACTACCCGTTGGTGTGTGTGTTGTGACCACAGTGAAGGCATCTTGCAGTGGAAAACTACCCTCAGGGTCAGCATAGCAAGGAAAGGGACTGCCGGCTCTGATGGGTACAGTCATCTTCATACTGATTTCCTCGAGGGGGTTGCCTCGCAAAGGGACCTCCAGGCTGTGGCCACACACACCACAGTCAGCCGGACTGAGAACTGTGGGTTCCCTCGTGCTGCCGCCTCCCACGCCTCCTGCACGTCCCTCCTTCAAGGAGTGGCCACTCATGGCGGCTGCAGGCCCGCACGTTTGCCAGTTTTGTTACTGATTAACCACGGAAGCTTGCTCCAGTGTAAATCCTTTTTGTAAAAGGCAAGATTGACATAAAGATGAGGTGAAGGGGTATTGTTATCTCTTCCCTTCTCTCCTCAGGCACATTGTGATAGACTGGCTTTAAAGGTTCCCTAATCTTTTGGGCCCATGTTAGAGAAAAACTGGCATATTTGTCCCGGTTGCTGAAGTGTGCTCCTAAAGATGTTTGCTCTCCTGTAATGCGTCAGTGTCTGGAATTTTTAGGGGTGTGATTTAAACGCCCAGATCTAGTCACGTGGTTTTGGGTTGGGGTTATAATAGCTTCTTCAGCGGGGAAATGTGATGACAGAGCAGCCTGAGCTCTCACTGCAGGCATCTTGGTTGGCAGTATTTACTTTATCACCTGAGCCTTAAGGAAAGCTAGTGCTGTGGCCAGTCACCACTGGCCTGCCCCAGAGAGTGTATTTTGATGGGATTAGAAAAATCGCTCTAGTCCTGTCAGAGCATTTCTCCTGTACCTTCAGCTCCCGACTCCCAAACTAAATTTGAGAAATGTGGACCATTTGGCACAATGTACGAATTAGTAGGGGGAAAAATCACACAGTACATTGGAAGCTAATTTACAGACCCTAATGGAGAGTTCTTTAGACAACTTAAATTATGCATCGTAAGAGGATTGTCTGTGTTTATAAATCCCATTCGTTCGCTCCCGGGATATAAGTGTGAGAGGGTTAGTTTGAAATCTTAACAGAAATCATATCCCCATTAACTTCTGTTGCCAGGGAAGGTGGGAAAATATTGCAGTTCTGACATTTATCTGGCATTTTGGTAGTTACTTTTTTGTGCTTTACCAAAATATGGGTAGAGAAGCTAGTGATTCGAATCATGACCTTTGAAGAAAACCAGAACACATTGCTGGCCTCTGACCTGGACGGGGGAGGAGAAAGGGACATTTGAATTGGAAATGGACAGACGGGCCATATTTATTGGCCTTAGGTACCCGCCTTCAGATTGTGGATTTTATAAATGGAAGGCTGGCCAGCCTATATGCTTAGGCTCTAGTGTGGTATGCGTACCCCCAGGGGTACAGGAAGAGTTTGGTGGGGGTATGCACTGCACCGTGCTTAGTGGTGCCTAATTCTACGTTCTCATGAGTACGAGGGGTACTCAGCATTACGAAAATTATAGAAAGAGTACACATATGTCAAAAGTTGGGGAAACACTGGCTTAGGGGACTGTGAGGATGGTGGTGGCACGGTATTTACTTGTGTTGTCTCAGTCAAGCAACTGGAAAAACCTGTCTGAGTGTTGTGTAGGCAGTGCGCCTGAGGAAATGTATTCTGCTGCTAATTACCTCTAAAATGAAGAGTTGAGCAAAGGTTGGACACCAAAGCTAATCACCCACCTCATTGGGTTTTGTTTCAGAATCCAGGGGTAGTTAACATTGGTTTGTGTGGTAACTGCTGTCTTCCCCTTAGCATGACTGTAATGATGGCCAACTAGCAAAGCAGCACAAACAGGGGCTCCAGAGTGAGTCTTCGCATTCAGGTTTGCTCTTCTGAGAGACTTTCTTTAAAAAGGGGGGTGTGTGTGCGGGGGAAACACCTACTAAATTGTTATCACTAACTATTTCATAAACAAAATCACAGCAATAAGATTGTGCTTTTGCATCCTTCTTTCTTAAACATTTCTTTCTGTAAATGTTAGCCAATAGGTTAAGTGATGACAACTGAATAATTTGGTGACAGACATGTGAAAGGTTGTGGTAAAAGTATTGGATTGGAGTTGGAAAAATTTTTTTTTTCAGTTTAGCTTCTTACAGACACTAGCTGTGTGACCTTGTGTAAGTTATTTAAAATCTTTCAGCCTGAGCCTTCATGTCTAAGGTGAGGGCATTGGTACCACCTTTGCAGGTTTATTGTGAGGATTGAAGACAATGAACCTAACACCTGTGGCCAGTAGCTAACTGCTATAATTAGGCAGGCTCGCATTTCTTCTTCACCCTTGCAATTAGGGCCCTGGCACCCTGTGGTTCTGGTCCTGGATGTGGCTATCCCAACCCCTTTATCACATGCCCTTACAGAAGCTTGGTTTCTGTTTCCAAATGTTAACCAATTGTAGCCTGTAATTTTATAAAATTGTACATATGCATTGTTGGGGTTTAGAGTTGCAGTAATAGTGGCCATTAGAAAACCCATTTGGGACATTTTCGAGATCTGTAAGGTGTGTTATTTTTCTCAGTTGATTTAGACTTGGCGAAACTAAATATACGTTTAAAAAAATATTGTTTCCCTAAATGCTTTTTTTAAAAGGAGGGATAATTGGAAACTTATAATTACTCATTAACTCTGGGTGTTGGTATGAACTCTTTTTAACATCTAGAGCCAAGGTGCCTAGCCAGGGTAGGAGTAATGAAGCCAGTGTCCACATTGGCCCCACATAGCCTGAGGACTTTCTCATCAGGAGGCTTGAGTTTAAGGTTTTATTTAATATATCTAATCATCTGCGGACTCGATAGTAGAACCACCTTGCACTTGCCTGTTTTTTGAACTCTGCAGAATGAGTTTTAAGAGCATGCTTTATATCTACTTTATTGAGAGAGAGTTTTCCTTTTTAAAGAAATGTAATTTCTGAACCATTAGTAGAGATGTCATTATTCTTTTAAAAACCATAAGAGTAAAAGGGAAGCAGGATATATAGTCTCTTGGGCAAAGTTCATCTCATCAGATACTCAGCATGCTGCCTGCTTCTTCTCTCAAATGTGTCTTTACGGCCGTAGTGGAAATACAGACTTATGGCTCGGGCTGTCAGTGCCACTGCCCAGCCTGAGGTGCAGGCCCTCCTAGCAAGGGGGACGTATACATGGGAAACACTGTGAGTGTTTTGAGTTATTTACTTATGGTAACAGCCTGCTGACAATGTGTTTTAAAAAAACATTTGGTAGAACACATGTATTTGAGTCATCTTCTACATAAATACACACGGTGATTGCCAATTAAAAAAAAAAAAAAAAAGCTAGGGTAACATTTAGGATTGCTCATATTCAATATACGGCATCAACTAATACCTTTTGTCTTTAACTTGAAAATGCAAACTCATCTGGCCTTCAGGTGCTGTTCCAATGTGGAGAGTACCCCCAGCTCCTCTCTCTTACTGCCCCTGAGACATTGTACGGGCTAGAATGAGCCCGCACACGCAGTGTGCTCTCTCTCCCCATGGGCTCTGTACTTCCCTGTAGCAGCAAGAACACCCTACCTTGGTAGCGTGACAGGCTCCTGAAGTGTATTATCATGTATCGTCCTTACGTCATCCTTGTCAGGGAGGGATGGCTTGGACACTTTTATGGCTATAATGAAGATGGATTACTGAACCTACAGCAGACAGATTACATGATTTGCTCGGGGTCACGTGGCTGGTCAGTGGCAGAGATAAAACTGGATCTGGGTCATCCCTGTCAACTGGGTTTATCTACCAAGCCAGCGGGATTCTTGCAAGATGGGTGTAGTCATAAGTGTTTAGGGGATGTTTTGCCCTATTTCTCTTTAAAAAAAATAAAATAAACTTTAAAATTTAGAATAGTTTTAGATTTACAGAAAAGTTGCAAAACTGGAATAGAGTTCTCATATGCCCAATGTCATTTTCCCTACTGCTAACATGTTGTATTAGTTTGGTACATTTGCCACAACTAGTGACCAGTGTCGATACAGATCGCCTTGGTTTTTACCTCCTGTTCTTTATCTGTTCCAGCATCCAACCTAGGACATCACATCACACTTAGTCATCATGCTTCCTTAGGCTCCTATGGCACTGGACAGGCCTCTTTCAAATGCCCCTTAATTGGGGTCTGTCTGATGTTTTCTCTCATGGTTAGACAGGGGTCATGGGTTTTGGAAGAAAGACAGCAAAGGAAGGTGCAATTTCATCACATCCTATCAAGAGGAGATAGTATCACATGATTTATCCCCGGTGATGCTGCCCCTGATTATCTGGCTAAGATCACATTTGTCAGGTTCCCCACTGTATGGTTCCTCTCTCCCCCTCCCCCCTGCCTTCCCTTACTGTACTCTGTGAAGGAAGTGACTATGCTCAGACCACATTACTTTGAATGGGGAAATATTCATATAAATGAGATCTCAAATGGAAGACTTGCTTGCTTCTGTCAACTCAGCAAATCCTACTCTCCAGGCTTTTTTCTTACATCTGTCAGGGGTGAAAATTGTGGCTGGAGGAGGTGGTCATCGGTAAAAATTCACAGCGGTTCTGAGTTCACTGGATGTGGTTAAGAAAATGCAGATGCTGCCTGTACACTAGGGGAAATAAAATAGCACCTTCGTGGTTAATTACCGTTAGAGAGCCAGGGAGGTTTGCTGCAAAGTGTGAACTTTGGTATAGGAAACACAGTTACAGAAAGGACAGCAAGGCTTCGGGATTTGTGAAAAACTGTGTCAGTGAGCTTATACAGTCCCAGCATGTCCTGAATATGAAACCACCTCCCATCTCCCAAATAGGAAACTTGCCACTTGCAGTGTGTCATTTAGTTCCAAGCCCCACGGAGGGTCATGCAGGCACTTAACAACCAGTACGATCAACTACTATTCCTTCTTGGTGCCCGGTTCTCAGACCGTTCTGGCTCATAGTCCATGTTTCCCCTTCTCTCTCCACAGAATTCGATCCGACACAACCTCTCGCTCCACAGCCGGTTCATGCGGGTCCAGAACGAGGGGACGGGCAAGAGCTCTTGGTGGATCATCAACCCCGATGGGGGCAAGAGCGGGAAGGCGCCCCGCCGGCGAGCCGTCTCCATGGACAACAGCAACAAGTACACCAAGAGCCGCAGCCGCGCGGCCAAGAAGAAGGCGGCCCTGCAGACGGCTCCCGAGCCGGCCGACGACAGCCCCTCCCAGCTCGCCAAGTGGCCCGGCAGCCCCACCTCGCGCAGCAGCGACGAGCTGGACGCGTGGACGGATTTCCGCTCTCGCACCAACTCCAACGCCAGCACCGTCAGCGGCCGCCTGTCGCCCATCCTGGCGAGCACCGAGCTGGACGAAGTCCAGGACGACGACGCGCCCCTCTCCCCGATGCTCTACAGCAGCTCGGCCAGCCTCTCGCCCTCCGTGAGCAAGCCGTGCACCGTGGAGCTGCCCCGGCTGACCGACATGGCAGGCACCATGAATCTGAACGACGGGCTGGCCGACAACCTCATGGACGACCTGCTGGACAACATCCCGCTCCCGCCGTCCCAGCCGTCCCCCACCGCGGCGGGGCTCATGCAGAGGAGCTCCAGCTTCCCGTACACCGCCAAGGGCTCCGGCCTGGGCTCTCCGACCGGCTCCTTCAACAGCACCGTGTTCGGGCCCTCGTCTCTGAACTCCCTGCGCCAGTCTCCCATGCAGACCATCCAGGAGAACAAGCCAGCCACCTTCTCTTCCATGTCGCACTACGGCACCCAGACACTCCAGGACCTGCTCACTTCAGACTCGCTCAGCCACAGCGACGTCATGATGACCCAGTCGGACCCCTTGATGTCTCAGGCCAGCACCGCTGTGTCCGCCCAGAACTCCCGCCGGAACGTGATGCTGCGCAACGACCCGATGATGTCCTTCGCGGCCCAGCCCAACCAGGGGAGTTTGGTCAACCAGAACTTGCTCCACCACCAGCACCAGACCCAGGGCGCGCTCAGCGGCAGCCGTGCCTTGTCGAATTCTGTCAGCACCATGGGCTTGAGCGATTCCGGCAGCCTCGGGTCGGCCAAACACCAGCAGCAGTCTCTCGTCAGCCAGTCTATGCAAACCCTCTCGGACTCTCTCTCAGGCTCCTCTCTGTACTCGACGAGTGCGAACCTTTCCGTCATGGGCCACGAGAAGTTCCCCAGCGACCTGGACCTGGACATGTTCAACGGGAGCTTGGAGTGTGACATGGAGTCCATTATCCGTACTGACCTCATGGATGCCGATGGGCTGGATTTTAACTTTGATTCCCTCATCTCCACACAGAACGTTGTTGGTTTGAACGTGGGGAACTTCACTGGTGCTAAGCAGGCCTCATCTCAGAGCTGGGTGCCAGGCTGAAGGATCACTGAGGACAGGGGAAGTGGGCAAAGCAGGTTAGTGCCCAGGGCTATGGCATACTAATGACAAAGTGGGGGTGTCCGGGGGGGGCTGCCTTTTCTTTAGTGTGAACTTGACTCCACATGGAGAAACGTAGAGCTGTAAAGCAGGGGTATACAGTTTACACAACAGCACAGCTCATCTCCCAGTTCTACCTGCAAAACAGATAGGGCTGTCAGGTGCCCCTCCCCACAAGCTGACAGCCCAGGAATTGTTTTGCCCGTAAAGAGAAAACACATACACACACACACACACACACACAAATGTCATTCTTGTATCCAGTCACCCTTGCTGACCTATGACTCTGGTCCTCCTATTTGATGGATGGATGAGGGCAGAGGGAAGGGGAGGAAGGCAGGACCTTAGTCACACAAACTTCAAGGTTAAGGACTCAGCCAAAGGACGTTCTTAGATTCCCGGGTCCAGCACTGTTATTGTTGATCTTCGATGTTATCATTTCGTCTTCCTTTCCATTAAAGTAATGATTTGCAGGTACTTCTAATTTAACTGTACAATATGTATTCTGGACTCTTTCATACATGCATATTTCCATCTGTTAGATTCTTCACCATAGTACGAAGCATCTTTATTAAGGAGCATTCAGCATCTAAGCATTAAAAAGAGCAAAAGAATTCAATTGAAAACAGGAGTGTTTATGTCAGAGCACTCACTCATGGGCGTCTTGTTCCCCCCTGTATAAATGATGTCAGGTTCTAAATAGAGAGATGTGGGCTGTGAATAGTGGCAGATTTTTAAATTGTGGCATTTCAGTACCATTGGAACTGGGAAGATCATGCCGCGTGATGTGGTAAGAAAAGTATTTGATTGGCATCAGAAGTTCAGTGTTCAGTCCGATTCTGCTTCCTGGCTGCTCTTGAGAGTGTGTCAGCCCCTGAGCCTCAATTCCCAGTTTTATAAAAGAAGGCTAATAGCCGCTGTTAATTTACAGGGTTATCGCAAGAATCAAATGCACCGAGGTATGTGAAGGTTCTCTGTAAAACTGCAGTGGGCTGAAATGGGTTTGGTATAAATTAGATAAGCATACCGACTAACAGATGAGTAGTAAGCAGGGAGGTTAAGTAGTTTGTCCAGGGTCACACAGCTGGACCCAGAATCCATATTTCTTGAATGGCTGGAGCCATAAGAGTTCTTTCTAAGTTTTTAACTAGATAGTAGGGAAAGGGGAGTGCTTTGGAACTGGAGCTAGAGGAGCAGATAATAGACAAGCTTGTCCTGAAACTCTACTCCTCCAGCAGTGAGATGAGCTCTGAGGTCTTCTGCTAATAGGTTCGCACCCCAGACCTTCCATGTTCAAGGGCCCTTCTTTAAATGGGATAAGAGGAAAATGGGATCCAAAGCATAAAACGCGGAGCCTTGTTTTAACCCTCTGCCCCGGTGAAGGAGCTACAAGGGTCTCCTGGAGTGAGCTTGCTCCAGCTCATGAGCACTTGTAGGAAGTGGAATGTCAAGAGCGTCGTGAAGCTAAAGGCATCTCAGCTTTCCCAGGCGTACATAGGCACCGCATGGAACTCGTAGACATCTGTTTCCAGTCATTTAATAGCCATTGAGGTGGTAAAGAGACTGTAATGGAAGCTAAAGAGGGTGACACTCTGGTGCCAGCCAGTTTAGGACATACCAGAACTCCGGTGGTGGAGGCTGGCCTTGAGAAATTTGGATCCTTGGCCTTTTAGAAGAATAAAGAATTTGTCTTCCTTTAAGAAGAGGAATGCAATTGTGGCTTCAAGAGACACAAGATGTTTTCATTTTGGTGTAGTTGTAAGGAGGCCACTTTCTAGTTCATTAAAAAGAGTAAGTGCAGAAGAAAATGTACTACCGATTTTTGTCAGTGAAGATTTTCCATTAAGTTGAATAGCAGACCTTTTAGTGTTTGTATAATTCTAAAAGATTGTATAAACATATTTTAAGGGAGATTTAGTCCTTAAGTTTTAAAAACATGAATGAAGAAACGTCATGGAGAACGGGGGTTTGGGAGTACTTTGAGGGAGCCTGGTTTCTGGGTTTAGAGTTTCCATTTTGCTTTGACATGAATGGCTCCTCTAGGCAGCCAGGAGCACGTGTGGCCTGATGTGTGTTCTTTACTTTTAAACTTGTGGCTGTTGCTATAGTGAAGGTTCCTAAATTGAAAAAAACAGACCTGAGGTCACAGTGTCAGGCCTCACCTCACCCACATTAAGTACCCAAGGTTTCCAAGAGATGTTCTGTAATGACTTCTCTAAACCAGAAGTCTTGTGTTCTGCACACTCACTTCCTGACTTGCTAACTGAAGGTCATGTGAGCCTGAACTGGAGCCGTCGAGTTATAGAGCAGCCGGCCCAGTGCACAGCCTTGCTGGAGAACTGTGGTGAGATGCTTCTCTGGAGAGCTGGCATTGCCCATATGTCATTCACTCAGACCACATGTAAAATCCCTCAGCCTGTGGGTCCATCTGGAAGAGAAAAGGGGAGCCATATCTTTCCATGAGTGCCAGCTTCTGGGGTGTAAAGGGTTTTGCCCTCTCTCAGGCACTCATAAAACTTGGTGAAGAAACATACAAATTGGCAGCAAGATGTCGGTGAGTGATGACCGTAGTGGTTGCAAAGCTGAGCTTCTAATAAGCCCTCCTGCGTGTGACACATGTCTGCTCGAAGGGAAAGCAGCATCCATCTCACTGTAGTTTTGATGTCAGAAGATACTTAATTCCACAAGCTCTTTCATTCATCTTCATCTTCTGGCATTTGAAGATCCCCCTCCATTAGGGAGCAGCCCAGGATTTAGTTTCAATCCACTTTTTGATAACATCAACCAGGAAATAGCCCTGATGGAAGAGGAGAAGGGTAGTTTTCTTTCTGTTTCTGTCACTGGTCATGACACTGATGAGTCTCTTAGAATTGAAGGTTTCTCGTCTGTGGAAAGAGGACAGGATCATATGTATAATTTTCAACCTGAAACCTAACATCTGTCTGTGAAATGGTCCTAACTAGAGGTACACGATGGTATCCTATATAATAAAGAGCTAATATGAAAATTGTTGTTGGGCCCTCGCACCAGGGCAGGGGAGAACCTGAGGCCAAGCCCCCCTGACTTGACTCCGGGTCCCATGATGCACCCCAAACTCTGATAGGAGGGAGATTTTCATACACATTTTACTAATTTTCTTTCATCTCTGACACTTCTATTATAGAGAAAGGGCAAATAGCAATATTAAAATATTTCCTCTAATTCTCTTTTAATGTGCACAGATTTCGTGCACCAGGCCACTAGTAGAAATATAAAGAAACAGTGGTGAACCAGTGTGGAGACCGCAGGCTCCAGCTTTGGAGGCCATGATGCATTTATTTACATTTAGGCTAGTTCCCAAAAGGAGGGCATCTTTGGTACTTGCTAGAGTTAACTTTGAATGATGTGATTCTATTATGTCTTTATTCATGTTGAGAGAGAGGACTAATTCTAACCAAATGCAGGCAGTACGGACTGTTTCCTCAGTGTAGGCATTTCTGTGTCAGGGAATGTAGCACGTGGTAAGTATGAAAATTGTACATATTGCACAGAGATTGTACATATTGTGTTTTTGCACTGCTGCTGTAGTCTGGTCTTTGGTTACAATGCACCAGCCTCAAGCACTCCGCATCTGCCAGGCTCTTCATTCTTACCTTGTTACAAAGCCCCACATCTGAAGTGCCATTCAGGGAGAGAGTGGCTGCCTGGATCTTGGTGACAGCAGTGAAGGAAAATTGATACAGCTGTCAAAAGGGGTTTTCTGTGTAGAGGCCGGTACACTCCTCCCATGAATTCATTTCCCTGGAAAGCAGGGACATCGCACTTGGGCCGCTCTTCCCGGGCCTGCTAGTTTCCCAGGGCACCCGTGGTCACTTGCCGCCGGCTAGGCATGGGGACAGAGCATGTGTGACTCTCACTTCAAGCAGTTGCATTTATAAGTGGCTTTCTGGAAGGTCTCTTTTGGCCACTCATAGAGCTTATGTGGAGCATAAATAAATGGGGTGAAAAATCACCAGAATTACCACTAGAAATTCTTAAAAACTTTAAGCTCCCTTTAAATGCTTCTTTTTAGAGTGTTCATAATGCTCAATATTCAACATCTAATAAAGAATGTTTCAGAGCAGAGCCCCAGGGACAGTGAGCTGAAGTGGGTGGCTGGCTCATGTCCAGCTGTGATGAGCCTGCTCTAGAAATCAGACATAAACTAAAGCAAGTGTCCTGAGGGCTCTTTACAGAAACCAGTATCTGGAGTGAGTCTGACTCTGGCCTCTTGGTCTTACGGAGCTCCCGAAGTACGAGGGCCTACGTTTTTATTCCCCAAACAAAAACAGACCATGTGAGAATGGAATAGGACATTTGAAAGCAAGTTTGTCCCAGAAAACCAAGCATGTAAGATTACTGTGGGTCCTTTGCTTCAACCTTGCATGGAAGGCAGTCTTTTCCTCACTACCACCACTGCTCCACCTCTCCAACCAGGTTATGCATTTCTTAGGGGTAGGGAGAATGCCTGTTTTATTTACCTCCATGCCCTGTGCCCAGTGCACTGTAGGTGTTCAATAAATGAATTTCATTTAATGAATTCAGGCTTTTCTTGAGCACTTGTGACTAATATGAGGCCTCCCATTTTGCGTTCTTTTAAGGCTTCGTCACCATAAACAGCACATAACTTTTTATGAGCTTGGGATACGTTTTTCCCTTTGTGGAAATAAAAAAGCAAAATATGACAAAAATGTTCCTTTTGATTTTCCATTTTTCAACGAACGCCAAACAAAAACTACAAAACAGATCAAAAAACTTTTTTTACTGATTAACAGCTGAATAGCCAATTATCAAATAACAAAATGTGTTTTACATTTGTACTACATCTGCAAACCTAAAAATTCAACTGAAGCCATATATGTGTGAAACCCGCAATTACTTAGCTGCCGACCCAATAAAAACTCCGTAAGAAGCAAGGGCAGAAAGGCCAAGAGTCCACGGTGATCAAGGGGGTGGTTGA